TTGCACGGTTGTTTAAACGAGTGCTTCGTTGTTCAATATACATATAAGTTTGTAATCGCCAGGTGGTTATGGGAAGCAATTCGAACGTGTTCAAGAAAAACGTGGGACGCAATACTAGTATTATACCTTTCCATACCTACTTTATTTGTTTATTTGCTTAAAATCCTGTGAAGACTCAAGTACAAATAAGATTACATTACTTAACGGTTAGTATATATAGTTAAGTAAAAATAACATATATTAATATTAAACTAATCAATTAGGTATTAAAATTTGCAATAAAATAAAATGATAAATGAAAAAAGAAATATAAAGGTTCATAAGTTTATCGTTTAAGAGATGCGATGCGATCGATTGGGCTATTAAAATATTATGATTTTTATTCAGTGGCGTCTTATAGAGGCAGGACAGGAACGAGACAAAAGTATTGAGGGACCTGGGACATATACAACTGTACTAGATCCAGAAGCTCAGGACAAGGTGTAGTTTCATTTATCAGTTTGGTCATGAATCAAATATCATTGCGTCGCGCGTCGTCTTTTGTCCAGGCATTCCAAGTGGAGGCTCTCTTGAATTATACAGTTAAAGGTATAGATAAGGATGGACTATGGAGAAAGGTCACCAGTAATACGTTGACGCTTGCAGCCAATATATCGTAGACATTTTCTTTGAACACGTTTAGTCAAACCTATTTACATCGTTTACATCCGATTCCATCATAGTATACCGAGCTATATACGGTGGAACCTCGGTATCTCGACCGAAAAAAGGAAGATATTCCACCTATCAAAACTTCGAGTTGCCGCGGTAATTAAAAATATACGGACAAATGATCGGGTGTAAAAAAAAAATTCGATGTACAGAAACCTTCGGTTATACCGAGGTGTCGCTGTACTATTTGTATTTCAAACTATGATCATTCGGCTGTGGACGTTACATTTTACACACGGTGTATACAGTGCACGGTATGCCTATATCGTATGCACATAGTATAATAATATGGCCAACATGGGTATACCGTATATACTCGTTCGCATCTCAATATTCGTTGTATTTAAATTATTCTTCGTCGTTCGGTGTACCTACATATACATGTATAATAATAATATATGCGCTGAGCCGTTCGAATTTACAATATTATTACAATATGACCTCGTGCACGACCATGGCTCACATACTAGGTATACTTACTGGTATATGCTCATAACTTCGTGTTTACGGTATATTTTACACAACGAAATATTGTTAGGTTGTTATTGTTGTCGTTAGTATCATCATCGTTGTAATTGTATGAATGAACACCGAATGATTTCGTTTTGTTTTCGCTAAAAATACCGCAAGAAACCTATATACGGTTAGCGCGTGATGGTGTGCGCGGGGACGATATATTATCATCTGCCGAATATAACATGGTAATAATTTACTTATTCGTCGACGGACGCCGTTTTATAATATGTTTATTCTGTCAATTTTTCAAACATTCCCGGCGAGATTCGATTTATTTCCATCATTTTTTTTTCTTTTCATTTCCTCGCGTTAACGACTTCCGGACGACGCCGCCAACCACGTTTATAATAAACACCGTCGTCGTTATCGCGGACGCCTGGTAATTCCGGGAAAGCTTCTATATACCATTTGTGGAAAAAACTCCTCTCCCCCCGGACCATTTGATGCGCGCCTCCGCCGGAGATGATCTATATACGAAGATTTCCACGCGGCATGGGACGTGGCGGACTGCGTGGAAGAAAATATGATCCAAACCGCGGGTTATGTACGACGATCTACTGGACTAGAACAAAAAAACCACCCCCGAAACGAAATGCGTACACCACCGGCACCCCTCGCCCGTTTATCGTTCGTCGCGACGTCGACGGCACGGTATATAGACTTAAGCGTTATTAATCCGTCGGGAGGACGTCTCGAAGATTTTTGCGCGACGACGAAAATATCATAACTCGAGCTCGTTTCGCTGGGCGGTGAGACGGGCCATAAAAAAAAATATATCATCGGCGGCGGTTCTGCAGAGACCTGCAGCAGCAGCACACCCGACGATTTATGTCTCTGCACATTCGCACCCCAAGACATTACGGCCATAATGTAGATTTGTAGTCTCTATATTATTATATTATATTCGCGCGCCAGCACACACACACACACACACACACACACACGCGCGCGCGCGCATGTGTATATGTGTACGTGTACGTGTGTGTGTGTGTGTGTGTACAATACATATTTTCGGTCGCCCTTTTCGGCGACGGTCCTCGGTCTCGCAAACGACATTCCCCTATATCCATGACCTCACCCCCGCCGAAAAATTGATATAACCTTCCGTTAATATCTAATGCACTATATTATAATATATTATGTACATCGCACGCGACTGGCGACGACGACTACGACAATTGCGGAATTATGATTCAGCTAGCGCTGCAGACCATTGCGATTTTGATATTGACATATTGTATGTAAAATATTGTTGTTGCGTGAGGTGAGCGACAACGACCGTGTGAGTCTTCTCGGACGTATTGGATTGTAGAAGATTGGCTTTGCGGAAAAAAATAGTTTTTGTTTTTGCTTGCCGACCAACACTTGATTAAATATTAAAATATCGTCGGACGTATTTTTCTTCACATGTGCGTGTAGATACATGTTTTGTTTTGGCCGTAATAGTACAAAATCATCTAGTGTTTATGCAAAGAATGCAGATCACCCAGAATAAATTGTCTACTTTGTATTTCGTTACAAGAAAATGATGTTACGACGACCAGAGCAAAACATTTATTTTTTAAACATAAAAATATACATATTATGTCATATAGACCTGACGTCGATGAATCGATTCCTAATCAAATATTATGGGTATTGGGTAGGTACCCACCCTTTGGCCTTTTTGGTTCGATTTCATTTCCTGCAGGACGAATATCGAGTGTTCACCCTGTAAGTGTATCGATTACTGTATAAGTATTACGATATTGATCCCGGTCGGGGTACATGTACATAATACACGAAATTTATCGAAAACGAAAAGCGCGCGATTATCGTTTACCAGCAGCGATTCTCATACTGTTGTACGACCGATCACAGGATTTCAATGTAACTGCACATGATAATATACAGTGCAGTAGCCACGTGATTATTAAATGGGGGGGGGGGGAGTTAAGTATAAATGACACCAAGTTTTTTATAGTTTTCGTATCTAAATAACACCACATTTACCAGGGGGGAAATATCAGTTGGGGGGTTTAAACACCCGCAGGCTCTTTCACTGATATTATAATATTATACGAGTGCGTATCGTTTGCGATTTTCTTCACCGCTGCGCCGCACGTCAAATATTAATAAAGAAATTACATTTTTATTGTTACGCGAACGTGGAAAGTGAAAAAAATGCCGAGCTGGAGGTAACAACAATAATAAATATAAGACACAATATAGTCGACACTAAATTATAAATTATAAATTTATAACAATAGGTCTCTCGCGGGTATGCCGAATATCGCGCTCTCGCACCTGCATCGCTCGGTTCACATAATAATATAATAAAATATTATACTTGGGTCTCGACACTTTCGAGAGCACCCTGTATAATAGGTATGAAATATCGTACACAATACCTTTCCACATATGTATAGGTATATATACACGCGGATAATGCGCGCGTAATAATAACAATAATAATAATAATAATAATAAAACACCGTAACACTACAACAACACTCTGCACGCAGTATAATGTTATGTGTACTGCAGCTACGAGGGCATGCGCACATAATATTAAAATAATAATAATAATAATAATAATATTAATAATGAGAAAACCCGCGACGGCACGCACACTCGCGCGGGAAGCGGAGTCGGAACGAGCTCCAGCCAGCCATAGAGGTCAAGGGTGTTTCGAAAAACAGTTATAAACGTCGAAGTCTCTCGGCTCGCTGCGCCGCATATTATAATGATGATATGTGTGCACAAAATAAATAACAGCATAACATAATACACACACACACACACACACACACACAACGTCTCGCAGTAAATGACACACACCAGCGTAGTGCGTACACGATTATGGGGTAAATGAAAAAAAAAAAAAAACAATATACGACGATAATAACAAGAAGTATACGTAGAAGAAACTCGAGTAATAATAAGCTTACGAGCCCGCGGGTCTACGCCTCGGGCACGCATCGGTCGGTATACAGAGCGCACGCACTCGTCGCGTATATGACACGACGTGTACGACACTGTACCCACCCGTGCTATGTGTATATATAGCGCGTGTCCATTGTTGTTGACGTCGGTGGTTCACAAAAGTACAATGTATATGTGCGTATATACGTGTGTGTGTGTGTGTGTGTGTGTGTGTGTCAGTTGAACCGTGATGTGTAGCTCGCGCCACACAATATCATCACGATCGAACCGTCCGTATCATGACACAATATTCGTGTACGCGTGCGGGCACAGGGCCGTTGGCGGTCTTAAATTATATCATGTGTACATAGAGGTACAACTACGCGAGACCGGAGAAAATATCGAGTTTTTCGTTAGCGCGCTTTGCGGTGGAGTGGACCTACGGTAGAGTAACGAAATTACGACGAGGACGCCACACGTGTAATAACGACTATCGTCTATTTGTGAGTGGGGGCGTGGGGGTGGGGGGGGGAGGGAGATGTGTGATTTCCTGCGGCGATAAACGCGGACAGACGTCGGATTGTAGGTTGCGATCCGTATCGCATAGATGTGTGATGGCTGTTATTATTGTTGTTATTGTTGTTACTGTCGTCAGGTGCGGGCAACACAAATTGTATAGCACTAATCATACGTTTTGCGGGGTCGTGCAATCAGCACCGAGTAAATTGGACCCGTTTCAATTATATATAACCAGGCAACAGAAATATTTGGGTCGTGGGTAGGCGGATCGTGGGACTGCCAGGATCGTCGGCCTCGAATCCAAAATTATCTACTTACCCAGCACCCTGCAACTGTAATGACGAAAAATTCGAAATTTCCCGCCCAAATCTCACTCTGCGAGAATTTATGCGCACTGGCTAGATCGGTTCTGATCACGAAATTTCTCATCATCATACTTTAAATTTGTAAACGTTGGCGTTAATTGATTTTTAACAAACCGATGGATTAAAATTAAAATATTTAAAATGCTTGGTTTTCAATCTTAAAGTGTAGAATATGATTACTAGCTGACCCAGTGCACTTCGTTGCCCGTTAAAATGTCAACTCTATTTGAGTTCAACTTTTTTTAACTGTGTTCAACACTTGAAAATGTTCTACTATTTCTATTATAATCTGTGACCAATGATAAGAATTATTTATAAACAAAAAATTCAATTTCCATCGACTATCGTGGTTCTCAAAATACTTATACAAGCACCACTTTAAAATACCGATTTCGGAAAATCTTCTGTCATTGCACATCCATTTCATTCAAGGAACCAATAAACAAAGTTTTAAGTTTGTATGTTTTGTAGTTTTTGAGATGTAGCGATCAGTGAGTGAGTGGTATTTGACATATAAAATATGTTTTCACATATTATTATATTTGTTTTTAGACAACCTCATTTAACGTAGATACGCTAAATTGTTACGCTTTCCTCTTTACGTTGTATGTTCGCAACTGTAAATTTCAATATTTTTTTGTAATATGTAACTCTTTACTTCAACGTAGCTTCTGCTCGAAGGAAGTGAGCAAGTATTACAGGAAGTCTGACAAGTTATTATTTTGTTTAAATAAAAGAAACTTATCATATACTTAAGTCCAAACAGGAATCCTTAGCTTTAACTTGGGGAGGGGGGGACTCTACTCACGTTAAGTTAGCCCCTCTACTGCACCACCACAAAACTTTCAAAATATTAGTAACCCAATTTTTTTGTAATTTGTAACTTTGAGGGACCAACTTCACCCGGCGAGCACTTTACCCCACATCGATCAAATCGATGGAATAATTAAATTAATAGTTTTTCTGTTAACTTGTAACGAACAGTATATAAGTCTTACAACCCATATTACGTATATATAAATATAGGGACAATAACATTCGTGTCTCGTCGTCGCATCTACCCCTATATATAGGCAGGTACGATAGAAGCATTTGCGCGCATTATTTTGACCGTTTACACCTTTTACTATTTACCATCACGACTTCAACAATAACAACAGTTTAATGGGTACCTATATTATAATAACAATTAATCGGGAAATTCTCGTATCATATGCGCTCGGCGGTTTCTGCATTATGCTGCAGCTACACACGGCCCGCGGGCGCGAATTAACGTTTTTTATTTTTTTTCCAAATGCACAACGCCTATGCGTGCCCACCCATATATACCTACACGTATATAATACGATTAGGTACCGCAGCTATCCTCGGTAATATAACCCTGCCGCAGGGCGTTACCGGCCCCGGCGGGTTATAATGGTACACAATAATATTATATGTAGACGGCGATAAATTACCGACCCGCCGATAACAATATTTTATTATTATTATTTTATCGGATATGCGCGCACACACATAATAATAATCACCTTTTCAATGATATTATTATACTATCGACTCGTCCACGAGTCACTAGTATATTACCACGACCGCGACGTCGCCGTCGTTGCAACGTGTGTACATATAATATTCGTAAATTATATATGTATATGCTAATGCCGTCGTACACAAAATACGATCAGTGAGTGTGTGCAGACTACAGAAGAGGAGGAGGAGGTTCTCGCGTGCATGACAATGGTCGTAGGTACCTATAATACCCGGGTAACAATGCGCGATGGGTTTAAAGACGAAACCGTTGACAGTATACCCAGGTATATAATAATAATACGTCTACCCGCGTGTCCAATTTCGGGACGCGTTCTATCTCGTTTGGTCGTCGTCGCAGTCGTTGTGTATGCCTACATTATTATATATAGGGGTGGCGTGTGTGTGTGTGTGTGTGTGTGTGTGTGTGTGTGTGTGTGTGACTTGCCGTCGTGAAATATGCAAATCGCGGCCGCAGCAGCCGCGACGACGCGCACTCGCACCTTTTTTATTTTGAAAACAAAAAAAAAAAAACGACACGGTGAAAAACGTTCAAGTCGCTTGGGCGTTGGGACGGCGGCAATAGCGGAGGACACACACGCGGGACGATCCTACGCGGTTAAAAGGGTTGAAAACTCCCAACGCCGAGCCCGGCCGTCTATTATGTTATTATAATATGTTTGTGTAATAACTTTTGTAAACAAAACCGCGTCAACAGTCATACCTATACATTATCGTTAGGCGTGTGTAGGTATACATATAATATCATACGGGTTCGAGTCTTCACGATTATCGTAATAATATATTATAATCGTTTCTGACGTACACGGACGGGTGGGCATTGTAGGTACAATCGGGTAGGTACTCCGTGGGGAGCCTTTGCACGCATCGTATCGGAAACGAGTATTATGTGCAGGAATCCGCATGTATTGGTAACCGATCGCATGCGTAATATTATTAGCATATTATTAAATATGATAGATTTTAAAAGATTACAATGGATTTATTATCATATACGTTGTGTTGCGTTATTATTGTGCGCGTTTATGCGTATACGCTGCTGATGCGCGAGGCTGTGACGTAATATTTTGTAGTGCCTAATTATTGAAAACTGTAGTTTTAGAGCAAAACGTCAAAGGTTCGCAGAGGCTGTCCGTTCTCGGGAAGGTTTGGAGGTGGAGGCGAGCTCAGCTATGTGCAGGTCCGACTCTGCAGTCGACTAAACACGAGATAATATTTTTTTGTATTAAAATACGCAATGGTGTAAGTGTCAAATATCATACCGTAGTCGCGTAATTCAAAACGATATTCACTGAAATTACAAAAAATAACTTAAATACATTCCTATCCAGTATCATAATCTTGTAATCGTCACGAAAATACCTACAAAGGTAGGTATCAAAAACTCACAGCTCGATAAACAGATATCCAACACGCAGGCCACCAGATTCAAGAATCTGTGATCCCGATATTATTGCGTACACTGCATATAGCGTCGATTTCCATCATCCAACTCAATTCTGATAAATATTTTTGAAATGTCCAATCGCTTATTTCGTCGAGCGTGTCCAAACGGAAATGTAAGTTTTTAAATTTAGGAGGACGGCCAGGACGGGTACGACTGTAGTATATCGTATAAAGCCATATACTCGCAGTACACAGTTTCAGGTGGGACGTGTCCATGTGCGCTTGCATTTGACGAACTACTATCATGATCGCAGAGATATACTATAGTGAAATCGACTCGATTCTGATAAATCATTCGAAAAGTTCAATCACTCGTTCCACCACCGAGCAAGTCCAAACAGAAGTATGAGGTTTTAAATTTCAGAGGACGATGGTATGGACCAGCGTATCATAATATACAAAGTTACGTACTTGTACACGGCACTAGCTGGGGCCACGTGCACTTGCGTTTGACGAATAATTGTTATGATCTCAAAGATGTACTAGGGAAATTGTGTAAGTACGAGAATTTAATGTTATAATAACACGTATAATGTTAGGTACTTCTGCAGCTAGTTACACCTACCGCATACGTCATATTGTCGTCGAGTGTAACGACGAATTAAAATTCAATTACTGTACACTATATATATTATATATACGTATATATTACAGTTTGATTACTATTTAATTTCCCGTCGTTAGCCAAACTGTACGATACATATAGGTATATTGTACTTCTAAAATATAATAATATATAAAAGAACGCCGCCCCGGCGCCTAATTGAAAAGAACCTATCAACACACGAGTCGTTACAGAGGGCTATCGGGCTATGTCATTATATTATATATTATTAAATAAATGTATTGCGCCCGAGCAGTGTTGTATGAACTCGTTTTCGAGGACCCCAAAGTACGACGGCTCCCCTCCACTCCCCACCACTTCCCCTACTTGTTGTCTGAATATTTTGGACATTTGTCGATAAATCACAGAACATATTATACTAATATTATATTTCTTTACACACAGGTTATTAGAACACTGCTTGAACAGGAGTGATATAGCTGTACCAATCAAATATTTAAGTATACGAAACTAAATGTAACTAAAAGTGAGTAATTTTTCTCAATAAAATGTGTCAGGACGCTTATTGCGGTGACTGTTAAATGTTCACCATTATGCAGGTGCCCACGTCGTTATTTTTTTTTTCAACGAAATCCAAACGATTTTTCGGCGCATTTCCGACCGGTTTTATAAATCTATTGATAAGTCTTGAGTAGGCACTATACATAGGTAGGTAGGTATAAGTCCTAAACATGCGTTTTCTCGTCTTGCGCCACTTCCGCAAGAATTATGCGGTAAAGCACGATTGGGCATACAACGATTGAGCTACCTTTTTAGCAACACGATTGAGCATAGAATATTTTACACGATGTTGCCACATTCACGTCGCCAAAATTTTGTAATTTATTATTTTCACGTATATGACCACTATTGAGACTTTTATATTGACTTGTAATTAAAAATATTATTAATATTTTTATTATTACCTGTTATTAAACAGATCTATATAGAATAATGTGACTATACTATTGACTATGAAATCATTTTTTTTTTTTTTTTGACATGTTATATTTTGAATTAATATAATTATTTAAATAAATATTATCGCATAATACAGTTATAGATTTAAAATGGCAACGTTGCAGAGTTTTTTATGCTCAATCGTGTAGGTTTTCTTTTGTATTTAGATTTTCTTTGATACGCCGATAATTTTGCTCAATCGTGTCGCTAAAAAGGTGTTTTATGCTCAATCGTGTATCAGCCGAATTATGGTCAGCGGCGTATATAGTAGGTTGCAACCTATTCAAAATTATATTTCCAAGATGGGTCACTGGTTGAGAACCACTGGTCTATATGGTCCAAATGTAGAACACTAATGTACGTTTTGTCGGCGGCATGACTTATATATAGGCAGGTACGTCACATATTTTATACCACGGTAATAAAAATTAAAAATATTATGTCAGACGACGTCGGTCACTGCATCATGTTGTACGTCGATGTGCTGATGATAGTAATATTTATATTTACCTCCAAAATGATCGTACTATAATATAATATAGACACTCTGCACACGAGCAAAATTCTTGTAATATTACGTTAAGTCATGTATACATATGCATTAAATGTGTATTCTTAAAACGTTCGACGGACATCACGACTTGTTTTTAATGCGTTTTTAACAACTCGCTCATAGTCGCGTAGTTACAGCTACCAGTATATATATATATATATGCATATGTCATGTACACTCCGAAAGTGAGAGAAAAGCAAATAAAAATTTAAAAAACGTGATTTTGTCAAAAAACCTATGGCCGAGTAAAAAACACTCGACCGTCTGTCGTTGACGTCTTGTCTGCCCTCGGACTTGCTCCTGAAAAAGTCAAAAGGAATAATATAATATAAAATGTGCACGTAAACTTCAAAATCGTATTATTTTTTTTTCATTTCATTTCGTTCTTTTTATATACGCAGGTAGTCGTTCCGGCGACCTGCAGTATTCATCCAAACATTCTCGTCACTCATTTTATTATTATGAATATTATTTCTTCACGTGCACATCGCGATGAGTGTTTTTCTCTCGGAGCGCTCGCAAAACGTAAGCCGAAGACGAAGACAAATCTGAAAAAAATATTATAAACATCGTATTCAGACTTTCAGAAACAGTTCGATCAGGCGTATACCTTCACCTACCCATAATATATTATCTCATCGAAAAAGATTCTCCGGTGATAAACGAATGACTCGTATTGATTATTTTTTTCGTTGTATTTTTCGTATTCAAACACATTCGTGCAGACAGGCAACGACCATTTTACACCTATACATACGTATTATATACAAAATCGAGTACTCGGCGTATTCTGAGAGGATTTTTGTTCGTCGTTTCATTCAAACATCATTTCACATACCTAGTTATTATGTTTTCGTTTCCATTAAAAACTTTGCAAACAGGTCGAATTTATTCTGAGAAGCACATAACAATGGTTTTATGTGGATAACGACTATTATTATCACTTTAATAAATAGCTCATTTTAAAAATTATTTTTTATTAATGTCAAGTGAACGATTGAATTATGTACATCCTAGAGATTCAGACTCGAAATGATGTTGCTTTACATGATGGGTTATATAGTATCATTTTCTTTACTGATCGATCCCACGACTTGAAAATTTAAAATACCTACTTAATAAATCATATCCGATAAATATCTTCTCATTTTGGTTGTTGAAATTTTCTGTTGTCTCGTTATTTCCCCATAGAAGTATTGGAGTGATTGTCTATTTATACTGTGGGTTATTTCACAATTATTAGTTGAATCAAAAGTCATCAATTAATTGATACATAATATGCTTTGTACAATAACGGTCATTAAAATCCCTATTGGTTTTTTTTTTCATTTATTATTGGTTTCTAGTGTAACCATTATAGCTCAACAATTATTCAATATATAATCCCTATAATTAAAATATATTTAAAGTAGTTTTTATACTATTTTGTGTGTACAGTTGTTAAACTTATTTGATAACCTTAACCTATGTGCTTTTTATTAGGTACTTATAGAAACACGTTATTTATAGTGTCGCATTCTGGTATAAGATATTTGACTTTAAAAATTGTAAATTTTTTTTAAAACGAGGGTTGGATAAAATTAAGCCTAAAATTATTTATATTGTGTAGCCCGCGATCACCTCTCAAATAATAGTAAAAAATATTTCGAAAATATACTGTTTTTTTATTAATTAATCACGCTGTACACATATTTGTTATTAATTTGTAAATTATTTATTAGTATTCCAGACGTCTACAGAAAATGTACGTTCTTCAATTTTTTCAATACGCCGCAGCACCATCACCATATAAACACCACCAGGTTGCACCCCCTTCAATTGGGTATTATTATTCGTTAACTTCTCATCTTGTGAAACGCGTAAAATATAATACAATTTTGAGATCAGATTGACGCCACTTTATTTATACACCCAGAGTGATGAACGATCTTATGATTTTAAGTAGTCGATGCCTGTCAAAGTTGTTCGTGCAGAGTCTCGATGATAATGTATTCGTTCGCATGTGACACATCGAATTGGGTTGTACCTATTTTATTGTTGTTTTTTTTTTTTTTTGCTGAGTGTCGTAAATATCGGTTTTTAGCCACCAATCGTAATCGTTAGAACGTTACGGTGCAGCAGTGTACAAAATTGTAACTAGTTATATTCCATTCAAAAAAAAAAAAAAAAATATTAAAAAAATACACTGTATAAAATCCGTTATAGAAGCAACTAGGATGGCTAGGTAAACTTTATTGTCCCCGAAAATCCAAACCTCGAAGAAGTTAAACGATTACATTTCAAACGTATTGTTTCGTCCGAATACAGCGGCGATGACTTACTCGCCTAATGTTTCGTCGGGTCTTGTTACTTTGGAAAGCTCGGATTTTTATCGCCACGCAGTCCTTGTGCTTGAGCTCTAGAGATTGGTATAAATGCAGTCCATCGATAATTTTAAATATTGTCATTGATCTCGTTGATCAGTTATCCTAGGTACTCGATTATAACACCGATTTTTTTAGGTATATATCGGCTGTTTACTATATATGCTTGCTCCGAGTTGCTCGCTTCTACATGATCATATGTTTTGTTTTTAATTTACAGATTATAACGTCTTGTCGAGCATTGTACTTTTGAAGATTGCAGCCATTGATCATTGTATACAAGCTTTCGAATTATTCTCCTAGAGCCATTCTTCGACGGTGGTCGGACAGTTCTAATGTACCTGTATATATGGAACGAATCGGTGTGCGGCGAATGAGCAACACAACTGTATCGTATTTAATATGTTGTTTATAAGTTAATTCCACACGGCAATGTTCTTGATCCACGGTTAAGATATGAAGGTAATATAACTATAACGAGAAATAAAATCGACGCACAATAACCAGATATGACGATAACTGAATATTTATACGATCCATGCATTTTCTGGACACTATTTCATTATTCAGTTATGGTTTCGTTTGATTTTTAGAAAGCGCAGTGGACAACAGATTTAGCCGCGTTCAACAGTTGCTGCTGCAACTATGCAGTCGTGATAGAATACATTGGTTTTCACTGATTACCATATAAAGTACTAGTGGACGAAAGCGTCCGATCAGATGGATATTCGTGTTTAGAGTATTAAAAACTGCAGTGAGAACGAGTAAGGATAAGTAGGAATCGACATTTAAAAAAAAAAAAAAACTGAAGAAAAGTTGGGAAAGACATTATTTATTTATTGATAATTTAAACGGTCCAACTGTCCAGTACACGTTATATGTATACACGTGTAATAGTAATGAGGTGAATTTGAGGAACAGTAGAATTTAATAAATAGTAAAAATACGAATCAATGAATATAATAGAGCATAAATTACTAATGATATAATTATGAAAAAGACCCAATAGAGTTGAAATTAAAAAAATTAATTTGGCTATCACATTAGCTTATTGTGTATATTATTATCTACAATGACTGAAAATGTTAAAAACTCGGGGTTTTTTTTTTATAGATAGAAGATTCGATTTCGTCCCGGATAACAACCACTTGCGGATTTCAACGAATACACATACGTCGAAACGAATACACACAAGAATAGCGAACTGCTCGCCATTTGTATGTGGCCGATAAAAAAACGTATTTGCACATTCCGAATCGCGTATTTATTTTTACCGTCGAGGAGCGCACGCTGCACGCGGACGGCCGTCGCATTATTATAATTATATTATATTATGCACTCACACTAGCAGAACACATTATATTGTATTCGCGTGCAGCAGTGCACATGTATGGGTGTACAATATTATAATACAATAATATTACGATGACAACAATGATGGCTCCCGTCCATCCATTTTCGCAGTTCGTTTATATTATTTGTTTTTCATTCCGCCCCCCCCCCCCCGTGTCGGGTGCTCATTGTCATAGACCCACGATTCGGCTTCGCACCCCATGCACGGGGCAAGTCCGTCGTCGTTGCTTATGCGACCAGGGCGTACATTTACCATACATAAAAGGCCGTACGCACGTCGTGATGTATACAGAACGAGTGATTTGCATTAAAAAACAGGAACAGAACTCGTCGCAGTGTATTGCATAAGATCCGCTGCACGGCAATGCCGAGTGCATACAGGGCGCTTACTTTTTGTCGTAATGCGCACTGCCCGTGTCGCACAGCTGCTGCAGATGCCGAGCTGGTATATACCATAGATTAACAGAGATACTCTATGGTATATACCAATGCCCGTGTGTGAGCGGAGACCGTCGATTGCGTCCGACGATTTTTTCCCTACCTTTTCCGTGTTCCGATTGCGTCCTCAGTGCAGGTAAGCTTTGATATCTAACCTCATTTATTTGGCCCATATAACGGCGTGTAGATCTGTCTAAACAGGAATCGGTAATCACACGAAGACTAAAAATCCTATATATTTGGGCTGAATTCTATATGTATTTGTACATTATTATTTTTTGAATGTCACTGAAAAAATAATTACTTATTTGAGTTGTGCAGTACATCAAAATACTCTGAATAGTATGCCATCTTGATATTCTGTTACAGAATATGAAAATATAAAAATCTATTTCGTCGTTCAAATACATAAAAACTTAAAAATAACTATATACGAACGTTTATTCAATAGTTGTTACGAAAATCTCGTTAAAATATACCGTAATCGAATGCTCACATATTATCGTACAATAGGACGCAATCGGAACATTAAAAGGGTAGGAAAAAATGATTTACCTATACTTGACGTGTCGTGTGCGCAATCGAAATACCGGAAACGCATATGAGGTCATGGAACGACGAGACGCGCGAGAAACTGCGGTCGAGTGCACTATCCGCTTTATTTCCGCGTGATAAATACATCATAATATCGGGCGTCGTGCGGATCGCTCTGTATGCGAGCCCACGCACACACGACACACATGCGTGTACGATGCTAGCCGCCATTTTTGCACATGTCGTACAGGCGGTAATGTACGTATATTATTTATATTGTATATGGGTTAGGCACACACGCGTGTGCATGCACTTAACCCACATTACACACGGTGTATGCGACGTGTGCAGTATTGCGAGGAGACCTCGGCCTGGTCGGAAGTATCGAGACCGTCACGAGTCTTCGTCGTGTATAGCAGTATTGTCAATGTTTATCACACGCATCTTTCTGCGATGCGTCGGCACTGCAGCACACTGCGACTGTGGTGCACCCGCGGATGCGGCGACGCCGACTGCAGCGAATGGGGTGTGGACGTGTGGTCGAACTGCACTTGGGCTCAAAAAAATATTTTAATACAATTATCATGCATTTGAAGGGCTTTTTTCTTTGCTGAATTTGAAATCATTCTCCGAGGTAAATTAAGTGGTTGTATCAATTCAGACCGAAAAATTACTTTAGAAAGTCCATCTAGATATAGTTTTGAAAGACAACCACGATAGGTATCACGCCATTTAACACCATCATTTACATATTTTCTTCACAATATTTTTAACGGGTTTTCCATTTTAATTTTTTTTTCTGTGAACGAGTGCATTCGACCACTACCTGCTTTTTACCCGAGTGCAGTTCGACCATCAACTTTTTCTCAATCCGAGTGCAATTCGACTATTCATTTGTAGGTAATAAGTGCAATTCGACTATCCCGAGCGAATGCACCCCGAGAACCGTGTACGGTTTAGGCGCGTTTACCGTGCATTATCGGCGTCGAAAAGTCTCCCACGCCGCAGCAGTAATAGCAATGGGCATCAGCCGTTCCGGATTTGTATGCATGCTGCAGGTGCAGTAATGAGTAAACGAGCATATAATTATATACCCCGAGACCATGAAAGTATATGAACCCAGACGCGTTGACCACGCGGTTTCTGAGAAAAGTCGGGTGCTCCCGGCCAGTGTCCGACACCGCACGAGTTGTCCAATTACGCGTTTCTTCGGTACAGTATTGCAGAGATTTATGTTTACTTTTTATTTATAACGTACCCGTATTCGATGCATAAATAACAGCAATAAATGTCAGTATAAGATACACGCGCCCGTAGAGTCCGGTGCTATTATTGTATTTCAGTAAAAACAGTAGAAATTATTTCTAATCGCGTCTGTATGATTCACCTCTCTGTGAGGTTTCCGACCATCAAAGTGTTAGTACCGTCTCTTCGATTTGTGTACAGGCATTTGAGCTGTTAATGTAATCAAATATTATTTTTCACGGTTTATAGGTACTGTTAATTAAAAAAAAACCAATATACCCCCCGATGAAGGTTGGTGTAGATAGGTTTATTAATTATCGATGACATATTACGGCACACCTGCAGGGATGACTTAGGTCTTATTCATTGTCACACAATATTTTAAACCATTTACAGTTGTTTGATACACCTAAAGTCAGTGCCGTATTTTCAACTGTTTTCTGGGAGTCCAACAAATTTTTTAATTCTAACATTTTATATAGGTATTGACATAAGAAAAATGTTGTTTATTTATTGTTATACTTATCGTTTTTGTATGAGCATCATCTAGGTTGTATTTACGTTATAATATAATATCAAATTAAAATTTCAATATCATTAGGTATAATTTTTGGGGGTTCGGGGAAGGGGGGTGGGTCCAGGACTGAAAAACTCTCTCAGCCACAACACAAAACCTTCTTCTTTTGTAATAATATCACGATAATCGTCGCCGTATTATGTACTTGTCGCGAGGTTCATCCCCGTCGATATATGATATATTTTTCTGTTATTAATATAATTTTGAAAATCGAGCAACACCGGGGATATAGCGTCGAGCACTCGAGTCGGTATGAAATAACGAAAACTTATAATGGGATGTAGACGAGTAGGCACGCAATAACAATAAATATTTGGCGAGACGTCTGTAAAAACGTGTTTCTTTTTTTTTCACCCCGTCTTCGAGGGCCCTTCGTTTAGCACCCGATCCGTACACCTAATAATAATAATAATAATAATAATAATAACGATATTATAACTCCCATTATTCACTATTGTTATTATCATCATTGTTGTTGATCGAACGTTGTCGCGGTCGGGGAAAACACGTCGTGTACGATATAACTTACAGGTACGCGTCGTTTGTTGAGGGTTGTCGTAATCATTTCTACCTGTATACTGCAATATCATATTATTATCATTGTTGTTATTATTATATAAAAAGGGCGTTTTGCGGATACATAATATTATATACGAACCGACGACGTCCACGAAAAATGATTTTCGTTTTTATCGTATTATTATACGGTTTTTATTATTATTATTATTATTATTATTATTAGCTATTACGCGATGATATATTTTTACAAACGTCTCGAACGATTATTATCATTATTGTCATATATTATAATTGGATTTTCGTCTTCGGGCCGCCGTCCGTCTGCACGGGATAAGGTAGAGGCGGTATTATATATATATATATATGCGCACATAATAAATGGTTATCGTTATTATAATATACATAAAAAATGTATACACATAGATACGTTCAAAACGCAAGTCATACGGACTCTTAAATAACGGCGTGAGCGCATAATATTATACGTTTGCTTTTTCTCACAATTAAAAAACGTACAAATAGGCATTTCATTTAAGTTATTTAATACGGCTGCGTTAACCTTATACCGTCTATATTATACGACGGACGGTCGTGTCGGTTACCAAGAATACCATGTTTAGTCCTACGGAATACGTATAACATAATATGTTATGACGTTATAATATGTTGTGCCGTACGCCCGTTTAAAAAGAATTACCGAGAATTATTACCGACTATTATTATTGTAATTATTGTTACCTTGTCCGTCCGTGCTTAATATATATGTGTGTGTGTGTGTGTGTGCGTGTGTGCGTGTGTGTACATAATAGGATGTTATAATAACGATGTACCTGCCTACGATAGGAATATAACATAATGTTGTATGATTTTTTACTGCTGCAAACGCGCTTGACATGCAATTTTAACGGTGCAGTCGTGTATTGTGTGCGAGGCCACGGCGATAGAGAGTGCAACGCGACTGCATTTTTGGCGTGCAGTAAAACAAAAAAAATGAATATCCCGTGCTGTATGAATAAGAGTCGCCTTATTGCGGCCGATACCTGCAACGCGCGTGCCTTCTGCACGATCGAAAAACGATACAAAAAACGCGAAACACAAACAAAACGGGTAGGCAGACATAATAATAATGTCATCCTTTTTCCGTTGCGATATGACGCACACGATATGAACCGGATCGCGGGTAAGTCGCGACGTACCGTGGATCGTTTATCATCGATATATAATGTACCCCTCGATTTGGGGTAGGTATATTATAACCGTGAGCGCGTCGACGGTGGTTCGCGTCTGGTAGGGGTGGAGAGGGTGCCCGTGACCAACGCCATTGACGATTCTCTACGTATCAATGCGGTTTGACACACTCGTAATCGGGTGACGTAGACCTGGTGGGTATATACGGCGTGTACGCATGATGTGTAATCCGTATTGTGGATATACAGTGTGAGACATAATAGTGAGGTTATCAGTGCCCACACGTGTGTTATGGGTTACACGAGTCGCAGGCGGCACGCCAAAACGAATATATTTTATTCGATCGTTTCGTTACTAATATATCGTGCGAGTTTTGATGGCTATACTTACCACTGCAGCGATCGCACACCGCATTTGAATGAAAAATATCTACCAACGTCCATTATAATTTTTGGTATGTGGTCGTCGTCGGTAACGTATTTAAGGTATACGTCTACCGTATAGCGGCTCATCTGTAGAGCTTCAGAAAACTGCCGATGAAAATCTAATGATTTTTGTGTTTATTCAATACTGTATACTTGAAGACAGGGTGCACTCTGCTGCGCGAGA